AGCAAGTCTATTTTAATATTGTTATCTTTTTCAGGGTCTATCGTTTTGCTATTGAGGTAGTAGGGCTATACATGCTCACTACTTAATTTAGTGACTAAAAGGGAACTTAAACACTTTGAATTAATATTCCTAAAGGAGCCTGTAGAATCACAGAATTGTTTAGGTTGGAAAAGACCTCTAAGATCAAGTCCAGTCATTAACCTAGCACTGCCAAGTCCACCACTAAACCATGTCCCTCAGCACAACATCTACATGTCTTTTAAATACCTCCAGGTGACTCAATCACCTCCCTGAGCAGCCTATTCCAATGCTTGACAACCCTTTCAGTGGAGAAATTTCTCCTAATATCTGATGTAAACCTCCCCTGGCACAACTTGCAGCCGTTTCCTCTTGTCCTACCACTTGGGAGAAGAGACCGAATAGGAGTGCCCTAACCACTACTCAGTCCATTAACTTCATACCTGTCCCTGAAACTGGTCTGGATGCTCACTTGTGGAATAGATTTCAGTCCTGCTAGGCTGGCAAAAGACCTGAATCTGAAGCTCACACTGCCTGGGAGAATGCGCTACGCATTAAGTCACAGAAGGCTTCCTTCCTGTACAACAGCCTATATAGCGGGCAAGGAAACATAATTTTCTTTAGAAATTGCATATGTTAATGACATGAGTCGTGCTCAATTACAAAGCTACCCAAAGGAGATGACTGAGTACTCTGGACAAATGGAGACATCCACCTTGCAATCCTCACACTGGTGAGGATTAACTAGGATATAAATAGGGTAAGGAGATGGGATAGGAAGTTGAGAGCTTCCTGTTCAGTATTTGGCTTTATTTATTTTTAATTTACTTGATGTACAGCAACTCTAGGTACTTTGGTCTATCTCTGGATCAGCATGCTGGTGCCTACAAAGGCATTGACTAGATGGGAAGTCCTAAGTAGTTGTTTTGGGTCTCCCCTATTACGACAGCATAGCATTTAGTATAGGATTTTACATAATGAAAATGTGCAGGTTTTTTTTTTGTAATTCAGAAACCATTCAACCACTAACACGTGTACAGCAGACACATTTAAAAATCTGGATGTAAATTTACACAGTGTACATGCTTAATTGAAATTTTTTCCTTCCCACACGAATACACTGAATTTTTGACACAATGATCACAGTTACTCAATATGCTAGAAAACTCAGAAAATCAGTTTGATTCTATCCCAAAGCATATATTAAATGTCAAAAGAATATACTGCTGCAAAGGATCTGGTGGCTTGCCACAATGGAAATGACTCAGCTAGCTTGTTTAAAGAATGATATTTTAATTGCTTTGTAGATCACAAACCTGCCAGCCTTGTAATTTACACTGCTGAAGAACAAGACGACATCTCTCCTTGGCAGACAACTTCTTCTTCTCTCCTGCTGCTGTATCAGCCAAATCTTTATACCTAGAAAAATCAGCAGAACATTACTCTAATGTTGACCTGATTGATATCTTTGCAGAAATTGTCAGTTTTCCTTTGACTCTCAAATCTTTGATATCCAAACTAGAAACTACGGATTCTGCTAAAGGTGAAGAAAACAAGAAGGCAAATCACTTTAAATCTTGTATATTATTAGATACGATCTTGGTTAATAACAGTGTGGGAAAAGTGATGCCTAAAACACAGATTTGCTTCCTGTCAGTTCTTTGGATGCCTCACTGAAAATCAATGCAGAAAGAATGCAAAGCCTCACCAACTGATTTCATTGGTACTGAACTGGATCAATAAAAGGAAGAAAATATTTTTTCAGTATGTGTCATATGATATATGCCTATTAAGGAGCAATTCATAAGAAAGTGACTTTGATAAAAATGCTTTCCATCAGTCTGAAGTAATTTTTTCTACCTTTTGAACATAAAGTCGTACAGCAAAGAGACCTTAAGGAACTCGATCAGTTTACACTATTGGAAAGAAGATCAAGAAGAGACCTGATTACAGCATCGAGTACCTTCAAAGACAGAAAATGCTGGATATTAAAGGGCTCTTTGATGTACTAGATAAAAGAACTAATGTAGGAGACTTAAGCCATACAAAGTCAAATAAAGTATAAAACTCAAATTTTAACTGTGGACTTATTACATCATATTACTACAGAAACAGATTAATTTTATAGATCTTGATAGTTCATATTATTACTATACTTTCTTGAAGGTATTCAAGTTGGAATGCTTTTTTATTATAAAAAGCCAGTTTTTAAAAAGGAAAGATTTTGCAAATGTGACACTTTTGATTAAATTCCAAATGAAACAGGAGTAAGTTTTGAAGTTTGTGTGCTAACTACATTTCCTGAAATTTTATTTATTTGGTTCCTTAACAGCCGAATTCACCTATAGCTCTGGTGCAACCCACAACTGTGTTGTCCTGGGACCACTCACACAGACCATAGCAGGCAAATCTGCAAGGCTGGAATGACTCCAGGGACATCAATGGTCCCAGGAGCTGTAGCAACTCCGGAGCAATATCTGCAGGCAAACTGCTCTAAGGCCAAAATTCACCTAGGCTTCTGGTTTCCTGGAGCTGCACAGACCCCTGGGTATCTCAGGTCCTGCAGTCTGGAAATGTTCTCTGGTCTAGTAGCAGTCCTGCTGAGGACTCCATGGCTAAATCTATACTAGTAAATGAAATGTGAGAGGGATTATTTCTCTGGCATAGAAAGCATCTGGCAAAAAACTAGCCTGTCTACCTATTAAGTATTCTGCTATGTTCTGTTAAACTCTGCCATCTTCTAACAGAGTGTAGTCACATCCAAGCTGCCTTCTGGGACTGGTCATTATCCTGTGTTAATTCCTAAATTGTGCCCAGGAATTGTTTGGAGGAATGCTGGTTGGAAGGAGCCAGAACTTCACCAGAGACCCTTTTAGTTAGTCTAACTCTCCAGATTAGCAGTAGAAAATTGTGGATCTTGCTTTCCTAATAGTTCAACTAGCTGTATAGTCACGAAGACATTTGTTTTATGGACTGCTATTAAGGCTGGGGCCATCTCGTTTCCATACTTGTATCAACTAGATTTTCTTAGAAATCATGGAGAATCAGAGGTGTTAGAGAGACAACTGCTGGAAAGCTCAGTAACTGCTGACTGAAATAAAGATGATTCAGCATTGACTCACAATGCATGAAGAAATAACTGCGAAAGTGGTCAGCCTGAAACCCACTCACAGCAGAAACCCAAAGAAATCTATTTTATTCCTGAAAAAAAAAGCCAAATTAAAATTTAAAAGGTTGAAATTCTAAGTTTGGATCAGATTTACTTTAGATCCATGCAAATCACAGGACTCAAACCAAGGATAATCAAATATTCTTTACAATCTGTATTATACAGGAGGCCAGACAAAAATGATCCACTGTTTTCCCCCAGCTTTAAAATCTCTGAAATTCCACCACATTATCCTAGAAGCCTAATCAAAGTTCACAATTCCTTTCTATCCATTAAAGAAAGCTCTATATTAGAAAAAGAGGACAAGCTAAAGGTTGTGGTAGCAGAGAAAGAACTAACTTAATTCTGCCACAAACTCTCTCCGTGAACACAGCAAGTCATTTGGAAGGTGATGTACCTTTCCCAATTTTAGACACTGAAAAGCTACACTCCTAGTCAGCGCTAGTCATCTTGTTCTCAAGATAGCCTGTGAAGACAGGTATCTCCACAGGGCGACTTGTTCTATGTAGCCTACATGTTTTTGTTAAAATGAGAAGAGATTGCCCTCTGGAGGTGCCTTTCTCTACTGACCTTAAACGGACTCAGAAGAGCAGTCCAGGCTGGATGCTGGCATTCTGGGTGGCTGAGAAGAATCTCACGTTTAGGTCTACTTGTCTGACTGACCTACTCATCTGCAGAGTAGCTAACAGAGGAACTAAGAGAACTCCCGCATTTCTCCTATCTATCTCGTTCAAATACAATGGATATCGAAGCACCTAGGATGAAAAAGCACCTTTAGGCCTGGTGTCATCATCTGCTATCTCAGAACAATCACTTTTATCTTGTATAAGGCTGCTTAAACAAAAACAACACAAAATTTGTAGCTATTTTTCATCCAGAATAGCTCCCTGATTTGATTCTCAGTCCAGTTGTGCAATACCAGTGTTAACACCAAGGAAGTAATGGGAATGGGTAAGGGGGAATGAGCAGACTACATCTGTTGGTGGCAGTCCAAATTTGTCCCGGACAAAAGTGGTGGTCTAATCATAAGCTTATTTGATTTTTTTGTACTCAATTTTAAATGAGTTAAAATATTTAAACCTTCTTCATTATTTTTTTTCCTTTTGAGGAGATAACCAAACAATATAGCTTTTGCTTAGGGATTTTTTTTGTATTTTAAACTTGCTATTACCCTCAGCAAAAAACTGTCAAAGAGCAAAACAAAATTGACAATAAAGTAAAATACAAAGAAATAAATAAAAACTTATAAGTGAGACATTATTATCAAAATGCAAAATGGCATATCTTTAGTGTATCAGATACTTTCTACTGTGAACTAAGCTTGTAGACACATGTAGACACAATAATTAACTTTCCTCTTAAATTTAACCCTTTCATGGTCTCAATAATAGTAAAAGAACTTAATATTTTTCAAACATACTGTATTACAGAAAACTAATTAAAAATACCAAATTTATGGTGCAGGCTTGTACAGATAAACTTGAGTTACCTGCAACAACAGGGCATGCTCCTGGGGAAATGTAATCTGGAGAGTCTTTGCAGCTTTCTCTTATCAGAGAATTCTTCCTCGACCACTGCAGTCTTAGTTCATTCTGAAGTGAACGAACAAACCTAATTAAATACCAGGCTGCTTCTCACTGACAGGTCATATATTCTGCCCCAGGTAAATAATGCAGAGTATATTTGTAAGGCTTTAGAGAGGATCCTGAGGAAATCAGTGAGCATACTCAGTCCTATCGTGCTAAAAAAAGTCTTTAATCAGGTGAAATATGCTTCAACTAAACTTGGATGAGTTAGTTGTATAGAGTTTCTTAAGAGTCACTAAAAGACACTAGTCAGGTGCCATATACTCTACTGTAATACTGATGCTTAAAATAGGTCAGATGAATTCTGCACTTTAAGATTCTCATTTTTTTTCCATTGAGTATAGTCTACGCTCTTGACTCCAGCATAGACATCTAATATTAGACAAAGAGAATCTCCCTCCTGGCCAAGCCAAGAAGCTGATAAAAAGCAGCATTTCATGGTCTAGCCAAAGCAACTCATTCGCTAATGGGTCCAAACCAAAATACATACCAGGGAGATCTAAAAGATAAAATGGAATCAACGCCCCTCCACCACCATGTCCCGACTAATATAGTGTTATTAGGAAATAAATGCAAGACCTCTTTGTACGCACCCTCCTTCCAGTTACAAGTTGAGACAGGGAACACTGCCATTGGGGGACTCTCCCCAGTGCCCCTCCACAGGAAATCAGTGTGAGAGAGGCTCCATTTTCCCCAGCTTTGTCCTTAGCACCCTCCTTGTCCTAATTTGTCATTTTTACGCACCTAAACAGAAGAAAGGGCTTTTGGCTAGACAGGCTAGCACTGGGAACACATACAGACTGGCCAGGATCCTCTAATGTTGCAGAAGCTGTGCTCTGACCTCTCTTCCTTTACTTTTGAATTATTTTTTTGTTTGTTTGGCCCAGATACTGCTGCCAGTACCTTCAGGTAGCTTGTGAATATGGAAAACTCAGTTCTCGTGGGTCTTCACAGATAAGGATGTTATCTGATCATTTTCTCCCTCACTCCCCTAAGTGCACAGCTGACAAGACCCAGCAAGCTGTTTTTCCCCGAGACAGAATATTCCTGAGTTCAGGTTATGGCACAGTAACCCACAGTAATATTCTCAGGCTCAGCATGCTATTTGATTTACATGGAGTGTGCACAAATAGGCTGCAGGGCTGTACTCCCGGTTCTGTATGCACAGCAAATCTTTAAAGCATTGGAATAAATGCCACACACTCAATTTCAATAGCACATCAACATGATAGAAGATACTAATGGAAAGAGCACGGCAACTACAAAGGGCACAAAAACAAGCAGCCTCGAATCAACAGCTTAAACAAACCACATAAATGTCTTTGAACTGAAGCCTCAGAACTACTTTGTTTGTTTTGCTCATTTTCTGCTATTTTTTTCCTCAGGTCTCTCTCTTGCCTAGCTAAAGAAGAAAGACCAATAATGACAGCCAGAGGTGGCTACCGACTGCAATCCAACATCCTCTGTAACAGGACAGCTTCTAACACCAGAACACAATTCTTTCCTGAAAGCAACTCCTTCCCTCTATGCCTTTGTCTTGTTATTAAAAAAAAAAAAAAAAAATCACAAAAAATCACATATGGCTGGCATGTAACTGCTTTATAGGAGAGCACTCCTATAGGAGAGCACTAAACTAATGTAGTTTTAAGTTTTAGATATCCAAACACAGCTTATGCAAGGA